TGGGACGAAAACAAAGTTGATCAAGTTCGGTGATGACGGCTTGCTGTTAAAGCTCCAGAAGCTGTTTAACTGCATTCAGACGGGAAAGAAATTTTCTGAAGACTGGAAGCCGGGAATTATAATCCCGATCCACAAAATTCACAATAACCTCTGCTGAACGAACTATCGCGGGATTGCATTTTCGACCCCGGGGAAAATATTTTTGATTGTCATCCTTGAACCTGCTGCGTCTGACGGTTGAAAGGAATCTCCAAGTAAGCAAGCTTAAGCAAGCAGGCTTTCGAACAAGGCATTTCTGCACTGGCTAAATCTTTTCCCTGCGTCGGATCATCGAGCAATTCCACTCGATTTAAGCTGCCCTAGTACGCCACCTTCATTGATTTTCGCACCACATTTGATTCTCTTCACCGTCCAACAATGTAAAGGAACGTAACCAGCTTTGGTATTTCAGAGCATATCGTTGCCATCATGTAAAGAATGTTCAATGTGAGGATCAGCGCTATAAAAGCCGAAGGACGGATTTCAGACGGTTCGAAGTCAAAATCAGCGTAAGATGTGGCGATGTTCTAACGCCTTGCTGCTCCGTATAGTGGTGGACCATATTCTATGAAACAGCGCTGTAGGACACTACGTGGACTGCTTCCTGTTGGAACAGAAACATATTATCTGGCCAAATACGTAACCGAATTAGACTACTCTAATAACATCATATTACTTTGCTAAGGTGATGAATGGATTTGCTCGTTGAGTGAAACATTGTACACGACTGCAATGAAAGCAGCCCTCCAGTTGAACCATGCAACGGGAGTGGTGACGAGAAGTTCAGTAGAACCGATGATGTGCTATGGAAGCAGTGCTGCCGAATAAGACTAGCAGTATCTATACCTCCGTGCCACCATCTCGAGTGTTAGTAACTGCAACGATTAGTAAACAGCAGGATTCCGCTGGCTTCATTTATGTTCAAAATCTTGTGGAATGTCCGAACTGGAAGATCTGCATCAAGATTCGATTTTACTGCGTTGCAGTCAAGCCAGTTTGCTCTACAGACTGGTAATGCTTTCGCTTACTAAAACAAAGGAGCATCAGCTAGACAGCCTCCAACAACGCTGGGTTCGAATTATGCTGAAGATCCACTGGTATGATCTTGTGAGAGAATGTCATGTTCTTCCATTGGCTGATCTCTAATCAGTCACGAAGTTGCTGAGAGACTGAAGGTTTGCTTGGTTCGACCTGCTGCCATCAAGCGACCAAGCTTCGCTGGTTTGACGGCTACAGATGAAACTAAACGGTGATCTGTTATCGAGGACAAGTCTTTCTTTCGTCAACGCTGTGAATAGATACTAGCGTCAAAGCGTTAAGTGTTCAGATGAGCGGACATAACGACTCTTAAACAGTTTGCATGTTACTGATTATTACCTAAAGATGATAATGATAATGACATAACATGTATCCCTGACAAAATTCCGCTCTTTGAAATCATGCCATTTTCGAAACTCATTATTATGAATTCAAAGCACCGAATTTCATCAGTGTTATAGTCATTTTTGTTGGCCAGAATCATTTCAAGATGTTTCATCTGATAGACCATCTCTGGTCGCTGAACTATTCTCTGTTATTCTACAATTGCCGGTTACGACATGCACGATGCATCATTCATTCGCTTTCAAAGTTTGCTATTCCTTTCTGGTCGCGGTGACAGTTGCTTCGGGAAAC